AGAGCGCTAGGCAGACTGCTTGACCACTTGGCCACGGAGATTCCCTAGTGCTAGTAAGGAAGAGAGCACTTTAAAGTAGAAATCAACAAACGCATAGTGGGTCGTGGTGCTGGACCCTGGGTGAGGTAAGGGGTGTCAAGTCACATTGAATACCCAATTCACTAGTCCAAATATTTGTCCCCTCACCCTCGCCAAGCAATTTGCAATGGGGTTAATATCCGCGCCAATCCCCCCCCCCCCCCCAAATCTGCCTCCATGTGAGGAAGATATTTTTTTCATAAATACCATATTATTTACAAATAAAATAGTATATTTTTGTCATTAATCAAAAATCAGTATCACTATTACGCAAATAAACAAAATGTCTTCAGCTACCCTCCTACCCGCCCAGCGGGAAATTTGTGGTTGACCCTCACTCTCCATCTTTTTTTTTTTAAATCTACCACCACCCCCCCCCCCCACCCCACCTCCGGTCCCCAATGGTTTAATTACGGCTGCGCGCCTGATGGCGAGTTGTTAGTCTCCTAATGTGTTACAAAAATACTCACCTGTTGTAAGAATGCAGATATTCCGCACAAAAGTTTCAGCACAAGGAAGATCGCCCCAGTTCTTAAACCTGGCTATAAAAGGTCTCTTAATGGACGGCTCCGGGATCCCTGTTGGAGACACAATCAGAGCTCTGTATGCTATAGGGTAGCGGTTCTAAGACCATCAGAAAACACATATTCATTGAAGTTATGAAGGAAAATAATTGTTTGGGGGTCTCCACAACATGAGGGAACTTTATGAAAAGGTGGCGGCATTAGGAAGTTTGAGAGCCACTGCGATAGGGTGTTTCAAAACCCATGCCGACACTTAAATAATCATCTCAAAACTCCTGTACGAATGATAATATTTGCTTGTTGCCTTAGATTTCCCGTGTCAACATGATTCTATCATTTACAATTGAGCAGATGCTGCTGTTTTCTTAAAGCGGCGAATTGCTTTGATCTTTGTTTGACTAATACTTTCTGCACCAGTAAAAAAATATTTTTTTTTTGGGTAATACGCTTTGTTATTAATGATTTACATTCTTATTATTATTGCTCAAGTAAACTAGGCCATTGAGTAGCCATCTCTATAAAATTAGAAGGGGTCCCAGCCACCCGCCATTCCCTCCTCACTTCCCTTCCCCTGTATCAGAGAATGGCCATAACCATCTCTACACTTTGGATTATTCGTGACTCTGGCGCCCCTAGTGGCCAGGTCACATTCAAATATCGACCCGTCTGGTGGGTATATAGCCCATCATGTCTATTTACACCTTTGTATGAGAGAATACACATTTCTATGTGGTCTGTATCTCTTGAAATGCCAATATTTTCAAACTTACAGTTGAAAATTAGAGATTCTTTGTGTTATTATTTTATAGGACGATTCAGGACCTCGGCATATTAATCAGCGCACTTCTTCTACAGAAGTCACGCTACGTTTCCCTCTCATCCTCTGCCTGACAGCCAAGAAGAACTGACGTCCATAACCTTGCCTCTAAAGATTGTACTCTGAGAAGGCGGCTTTTGTGTCCAGGACATTTCCCAAAGCTTGGGTAAGTCTATTAGAGTTTACGAGTACCATGTATATAAATATATATATATATATATATATATATATATATATATATATATATATATATATATATATATATATATATGCCCCACTGCTGAGAAGAGGGATGATTCGGCTATGAGACATTAGAGAGCGAGACTGTTCTTGGTGTCAAAATACTCCCTGCCATCTTAATCAAACCTTCAATTTTTCAAGCTGAGAGTATGTGCATTAACAACCCCAACATTAGTATAACGGATTTAATCTAGCAGTCCAATCGTTTCATAACTAACTAATTGTGAAAATGGATGGCGACATAGAAGCCGGCAGAATTAACTGGGTCAGCATACAGCTTCACCGAGCGGCGAGAGACATGCAAAGTAACGGCAGGGGTTATTTATAGGAAACTCAGATACAACACAGAGTACCTGGAAGGCTATGGTCAAACTGTGGAAAATATAATAAACATATATGGGTGAGTGGTAGTCTATCATAGTCTGGGAGCTATTTTCTTGTAGTAGTGGGGAAGTCCGGCCAAGTTGAGCCTAGGAGGATATATTTTGTAGTGCCATAACTTGTGTTGCCCCACCCCTGAAATAGTTTGGATGTGTATATTGGCCGCGGGATACCACCTAGACCAATACGAGCCGAGATTCCTACATTTATACTATTTCAGAGTGCTGTTGGTTCATTAGGAGAAATCCTTAATCACGCACGTGACACGAGCGGTATGTGACACCCTACCGATACAGTAAATGACACAGGTGTGGAGATTGTCTGGAAAATCAACTCACAAGTGAAGCGATGCGTAGTAATTATTTTGATAGGCTTTTCTCCACTCAGTTAAGACTCCGCTACCCGCGGGAGATTTACGCTTGAGGTGACAACCAGAAAGTGAAACGCCAACGAAACGTGTGCCATTTGATGTTTTGCACAGTTTAGCTCACTCAGTTTACTCGAGCTGCAGTAAGTATGCTGACTGGGTTAGTTCGATGTTAGTCTTCGCAGACCCCGCCCATATGCACGCTAGCTTACTTCTGATTGGTAGTTCCTGAGCCCCGTTACCGTCGCACACGTTTGCGGGGGTGTTCCGCAATGTCGTTGATATCAGGTGTTGTATATTTCAGTTTGCCAGGGCTGAAGTGTTAACTCCTAAAACATGGAGAAACTGGGTCTAATTCAAACCCCCCCCCACCCCCCCCCCCCCCCCCCACCACCACCACCAACACCACCACCATAGAGAGTGCTGCAATCTATGTCACAGTCATTATTTTTCTCGGAATGAAAACGTAAATGCAAGAGATTGCAGAAACCAAACAACAGAGCGGACACACCCGTAGCTTTCACGAAAATCGACCAGCCCAACAAACTTGTGAATGAAAAGTGACATACTGTGTTTGGGAAGACTAACCTCGAACTAACTTGTCCAGAACTAAAACAGTTAGACATACCTTTATACGTGCCCTTAATGCCCAGTTGAGGATTTGCGTTAAGCATTGCAAAGTATGTTTCATCTGGTATAGACGTTTTATTTGTCCAGTTCAAAAGCTGCTTTGCTGTGTCATTGAGAAGAATGTAACCAACGAATTCCCTGTAATGTATTATACAAACGGGTCAACTTGAAGAAACCAGTAAAGTAAATGTAAGTATTCTTCTTCTTCTGCACTTATTCCCTCAGCGGGGCATAGACCCCCAACCAGCTCACGTCAAGTCGTTGTTTGCTTTGCTATTTTATGTAGAACACCATTTGTCGTCCTTATATTTCTAACTTCACACTCTAGCTCACTTTTCTGAATTTTTTTTTTTTTTTTTTTATATGGGCTTATTTCTATGCTCCTGGTGGTTCCAGTCTAAAGATATTCTAGTTTAGTGTTCTAAGGATGTTTCATCGTGCGTATAGATTTTAGGCTTAGCCAAAGTGAAAGAAAGTATGTCGACGATTTCAGACTTAGAAACCAACTTTTCCCGCTTCCTGACCACCACCCCAACCCCTTTTGTTCCCTTTATCGTCTTTGGCTGGCTCATACTTGTTTCTCTTTTCGACTTTTCCATGGCTGCTTAGTTTCAGTGGTCTGCGACCAACGATCCGACTTGCCCGTTGTGCAAATCAAAACAAACTCTTGAGCACGTCCTGTCCGCGTGCAGGAAAGCTCTAGGTCAAGGCCGATACACCTGGCGCCACAACAAGGTGCTAAAGGAGTTAGCAGCCGTTGTCGACCAGGCTAGAATGAGGGCTAACGCCAGAGCCAGTTCTAGTATCGCCCCCATTAGTTTCCTCAAGGATGGGCAGGTTCCAATTGGTAAGGTCAACAAAAACGCATTCGCTCCATCTGTGCTAGACTCTGCGAGGGACTGGTTACTGGCGGTTGATCTGCCAGGCCATGAACGGTATCCCGAGTTGATCCGTAAAACCGGCCTGCGACCGGACATCGTTCTCCATTCTGCGCAAAAACGGCAGCTCATCCTGATTGAGTTGACGGTCCCGTTTGAGTCGCGTATGGAGGAGAATCATTTGTACAAGCTCGAAAAGTACAGTGACTTAGCAGCCGGTTTGAGGAGAAACGAGGCTTACACAGTAAGGGTTTTTGCCGTCGAAGTGGGAGCGAGAGGCCTCGTTTCCACTTCGCTCTACAATGTGGTTAAAGAACTAGGATTGCGCGGTAATGAACGGAAACGAACACTTAAAAAACTGGGAGAGGCAGCCGAAAGGGCCTCTAGCTGGCTGTGGACGCAGCGCAACAACGTAGGGGACGGGCCTCGGTGAGCTGGTCCAGGTGTTTAGCGGAAAGGAGTTTCTCATCCCTTTGAAAGTCCATCGTGTACGAATTGTCTGCCAGTGTCCCTCTGCCAACTGCTAATAAAAGTCCAACATGTGTCCGGTAAACCAAAGTAAGCTTGTCGCTCGGTCGTCCAGGCATGCGGACTGTTTTAATTACGCTGTCGCGGCGGCTTCTTATCTCACAGTACCTCCTTTGAAACCACTAAGTCGTCTTGTCTCTGGCCGAAATAATAACACCATCCGGTAATTCTGTGCAGCGGGGAAGCAGCCCTGAGCTTCATGAACTCAGGTGGGCCCACCTCCGAATACGTTTAGGAATCGTGGGCCGAAACGTGTGTCGACAGAGGATAATTTCTACTGATGACTGTAGATCCCCCTGTACTTGCTCCCTGTGAGTTTATTCTTACAGTGGCTATTGTTTCCTCCCCCACCCCAACCCTCCCCCTCTTAGTTGCCTTTTACGACATACCTGATAAGGTGCTTAAGTTGGTATCAAGCGCAGTCCGAGGAAGTAAATATGGCCACATCATCCACCAAGTGCCGATTAGTTTATGAAACTGTAGGCCAAGCCCTATATTTCTAGTATTCCTAACGGCGTGGAAAAAGGACTGTATACTGTGCATAATTAGTATTCTTTTCTTCCTATTAGGGCACTGATAACATTCTAGTGAAAGTAAACTGGTACAGAAACCATTGCATGCCGGTGGTGCATTGGACAAATAAGCTGATTGTTTATTTCTTAAAGAAAAACAAGACTGAATTATTTTTCCCCCTTAAGGATCGCAGTCTGTTCTGTTAACATCCCAAGGATGAGAGTCATCAGACGGGTACAAATCCCGGAAATCCCGTTTAAAACGTATAACCATATAGAACATTTGTTATCAGGATTAACAAAACGGTTGCGGCGTCCGTGGCTTGGGCGTTGCGAGTCGAACGTAGGGCGATCGAAACCTACTGCTAGCGCTGCGTGGATTTTTACCTTAGCCTAAAATGGGTACCATGATGTACGTCCTGGAGAATTACACATTTCACATGTAGTTATTTCTTTTCGTCCTACATCTTGATGGGATTGTATTAATCATTTGGGAAGAGCACCGCTATTTTTACAGACGAATTGGCACTAGGTGGGTAATTTGGTCAGCATACGCCGGCCGTCTTTACTTCGACCTGCGACGCCCCATACCATGATTTTAAAAAATCCATGCAGCCAGCAGTAGGTTTCAACCGTGGTACGTTGGAACTAAAATAAAGAAATCACAACTGAAATACCATGATACCTTCAAATAAAGATCTTTTCAGTTGTCCAGGGTCGGACTCGCAAAGATTAAGCCACAGACGCCGCTTCATTCACAGTAAGGACTAGTAATCTGGTAATCTTAGTTTCAGCTTCAAAGCAAACGGGTCACCCTATAGTTGTTCCGCTCCTGTGCCAACGAAAAACACACAGAATGTTTATCAGTCCCTTGTGGAATTGCAGAAAAAATAGTCAACATAATTGCTCTCTTCTATAAAGACTTTTCCTGCTGTATAAAAATTACATTACATCTTTCCCAGTAAAGACGGGTGTAAGACAGTGATGTGTTATGCCATCTCTCCTCTTCAACCTTGTGATTGATTGGATACTAAAGAACACAGTAGACAGGACATTAAGAGGCATACGATGGACTCCATTCACCATGCTTGAGGACCTTGATTTTGTAGATGATATTGCACTCCTGTCACATAAACATGAACATATACAAGAGAAAAGTAACAGACTCCACTGCACAGTAGAAATGGTGGGACTGAGAATAAATACAAAGAAAACTAAGATCATGACAAGCAGTCCAAACCAACAACCAGTGACCATAAATAACCAATCACTTGAAAATGTAGAACATTTCACATATCTTGGCAGTGTGGTGTCCCTACTGGGAGGGACAGGAAGACATACAGTCACGTCTGAACAAAGCTAAAGCTGCTTTTGGAAGGATGAGGCAAATCTGGGAATCCAACAATTACTGCAGAGGAACGAAACTCCGACTCTACAAGAGCATCATTTTGCCAGTTCTTCTTTATGGAGCGGAATGCTGGAGAATGACCAAAAAGGATGCACACAAGCTGTCCACCTTCCACCACACATGTCTACGTAGAATTATCAAAATTTTCTGGCCAGATACAATCTCAAACACTAAACTACTTCAAGCCACAAACCAAGAAACTCTAGACAGTATGATAACCAAGAGAAGATGGAAATGGCTTGGCCACGTTATGAAAATGACTTCTGATTTACCTGCCTAAACAGCTCTCACATGGACACCAGAGGGAAAGAGAAAACAGTGGCGCCCAAAAACAACATGGAGACGAACGATGGAAAGTGACCTGAGTGCGGCATCTTTGACATGGAAAACTGCACTGAAGATTGCACAGGACAGGAAAGCATGGAAAGTCCTCTCTGAAGCCGCATGTGCCACTAGGCATAACGAGAACTGATGATGATGATGTGGAAATGATTGACAGACTGCTGTCTCAGCAGGACTAGTATATATCAGGACACATTTGGTGGTGTACTTCTGCCCCCTGTTCGGGTACGCCACTCGCTACTCTCTCGCCGTCTCGATCGCGAATGGGGAAAACGAGGTTAAACATCATATTTTTGTTGACCAAGCGACCCTCATCATCATCAAATGCCTCGCCAGCTGACGTAGCATTCTTGCTTTTCCAAATGTTTCGGTCTTTGGTTTTCTGGATCAATTCCACTGATGATATTCCTCTATGCCAGTGTCTTAGCCATCCATCATCTTTCTCTTGGTCTGCCTCTGCCTCTTCTACCAGTGATCTTTCCAGTCGTCATGATATTGTCCAGTGGGCCTTTTTTCAACACATGACCGAAGAACTTTGTCTCTTTCTTATAGTTGAATATATTGTTCAACTTTCATTTCATGAAATTGACACGCGGCGGGTCATAAAGTCAACATTACGCCATCACCTTTAATTACCAGGAGCCCGGCTCTCTAGCGTAATTGACTAAACCGGATTGCGCGGAGACCGGGTGACGAACTCCTTGTGGTCCGGGTTCAATCCCGGGGGTAGGCAGGAACTCACATTTTCTCCCAGATTTACGGTATTTACAATGGCCGAAAGGTTGCGATATCCATAACACCGAGCCTAAGGATTAACAACTCATAGCTTCTGGATACTAAAACAAACAACAATTACCAAAAAATTACCTGGTACAAACGTTTTGCTGCGGTCAACAAGGGAGCGAAGGATCCAAGACCTTTAATTGAATTAGCTGTTATTATACGCAGTTCTACCCCTTTAACCAGTCGTCATTCAATGGAAGATATGTCAGTGTAGACATACACAGGCCCATCTCTCTACCGTTGCTGGCTAAACCGGATTGCGCAGTGAGCGGGTGACGAACTCCTTGTGGTCCGGGTTCACTCCCGGGGGTAGGCAGAAAAGCCACATTTTCTCCCAGATTTACGGTATTTACAATGGAATCAAGGCCGAAAGGTTGCGATATCCATAATACCGAGCCTAAGGGTTAACAACTCATGGCTTCTGGATACTAAAACAAACAAACAACAGACATACACTGAATTAAATAAATTAAATAAAATAAACTCGCGCACATACGCATATATATATATATATATATATATATATATATATATATATATATATATATATATATATATATATATATGCAAGTACGTATATGTGTGTGGGTCTGCGTGTATGAATGTGTGTATGTATGTATGTACTTGATGTGTATGTCCGTCACGGCATGTCTTTCTGTCGGTTTAAAACTGTGAATAAATTACCTGTTTACCACAATGTGTACTGAACCTTTCACACGTTTTAATCCATGTGGCGCAACAGTGTTCCTCCATCTACGGGGGTTTGCCCTGAAAATATATAATAGTATTTTTTTTCCGAAACAATTTTATTTTTAGGGAATCTAAATAATGCAGACACAAATACACAATTTATTGAGTGATATATTTCGATGTATTACTACAGACTTACAGCAACCTATAATGGAGCACGAATTGAACCCCTTTGACTAAAATATACATCACCTTGTCTTCTCTAGTCACACTGTGCATCTAAAAAATGCGGAAGTTCAAATTAGTAACCTGAATAACAAACACAGCAGTTTCAAATTTACTCACTGATCTTTTTGTTTGCACAATGCGGGATGTGTTGTTTTTTCTCACAGCTTCTGCAAGTTTCAGTTATTGCCGATTTGATGTGTGGTAGACAAAATGCTATGTGCGCAATCACTATCAATTGCATGAACGGAGTCAAGCAAATGAAGCTTATCGAAACAATGTTGTTGGTGTTGACATACCTGGCAGGATCTAAACTCAGTTGAATCATTTAGGATATGCTCTGCTACTCTGCTTCGAAGTTAACCCTCCTTTAGACTGATATAAATACATTTATCTTGATATTGCGACTTCAAAACATTACTGAGAGATGAGAAACAAGAATAAGAAAGGGAAAGAAAATGGAAGAAAACGATAGATACCCGATATTGAGATGAAGTTCCCTAAAGGGGTTCTGTGCCCGATCAAGCCCTTGATATATGGGAACTAATTAAGGTTTTCCTGAAATCAGATGTGTTCGACAGAAAGGCGCAAATATCGCAGACTACCTGCATATGACACAGTGTCTCATCCACCCCCTTATATTGGCCAAGCCATAGGAAGACTCAGGGAGTAGAGAAATGGAGAACTGTGAAGAAAGAAAGACAGAAAGACAGAAAGAAAGAAAGAAAGAAAGAAAGAAAAAAAGAAAAAAAGAAAGAAAGAAAGAAAGAAAGAAAGAAAGAAAGAAAGAAAGAAAGAAAGAAAGAAAGAAAGAAAGAAAGAAGAAAGAAAGAAAGAAAGAAAGAAAGAAAGAAAGAAAGAAAGAAAGAAAGAAAGAAAGAAAGAAAGAAAGAAAGAAAGAAAGAAAGAAAGAAAGAAAGAAAGAAAGAAAGAAAGAAAGAAAGAAAGAAAAAGAAAGAAAGAAACAAAAAAGAAAGAAAGAAAGAAAGAAAGAAAGAAAGAAAGAAAGAAAGAAAGAAAGAAAGAAAGAAAGAAAGAAAGAAAGAAAGAAAGAAAGAAAGAAAGAAAGAAAGAAATGCTGTAAAACATAATACTGCACGTTTAATTAACAATTATTTTTTTATAATAAAGTAATCTTCTCTTGAGATAAAAGTTGACTTAATTTTGTTTTTTCTCTATTTCTTGACTTCGGTTCAAGTGTTGTTGCTTCAATATAAAATGTATACTCCTCTAAAGAACACAGACTTCATTTCAATAGAAGAATTATCATCCTCTTTATAACGTTAGATAACACAAAGGTCTTGCATTCTATTCCTCCACTCCCGTCTATTGCATGCAACTCTTTCGATTTCTGACAGGAAGTTCAGCCCAGCATTCTTAGCCTAGTAATTATGTTTTGCTTAATGTTTCCCTTTGACGTCCTCGTTTTCTCAGACAGTTTATTTCCTATTTTAGTGCTTTAAAAAATTTTTTTTATTTCTTTGCTCATTTTATTTGAGAGTGAGGCTAGTATATCCCGCACCTTCTTTGCCTCATTACAGTCGATACAAGTATGTATTTCGGATCTCATCAATCTTTTTGAATTCATCCAGTTTTA